GGGATTGTGTGACCCCAGGCCTATTTCCAAATTGATGTTCAAACTGCTTGTTACCATAAATCCATTGGTCATTGCTTATTGGTACCCTTGCCAAGTAATAAATCAGTGAATTTTCGTTTTTTTAAGTACAGAGAAAAGTAACGTTTCCCAAAATAAGCCCTACTTAATTGTGTAAGTCTACTAAATTTCAATTTTTTAATTGGTCGCGAAAATAAGTGGAGCTTTTTACTGGCAGCTTTCCTTGTAATGGGTGGTGCCGTTTGGAGCTATTTTCTGACCGTCTCCCCCAATCAGTCAACCTATGCGCCTGTAGTAATGATAGGAAGCGGTCTGTCAGTTATGTACGTCATGGCACTTGTCTTCATCACAGAATTGATTGGAGAAAATAAGGTTGGTGTTACCATCGTTAAACTAAATTAATGGTTTTTTGGAAACAGGTGATATGAGAACCCCTAAAACAATTTCCTCGTAACAAGCTCTCCCATCGACCGCATAATGAGTATTCACTAGCGGTGTTGGAACTAATTTTAGAAATCATTGGTAACATAATGAAGTCAACGAGAAAAAAAAAATTAGACATAGTCTGCTACCAGGTAGTCCGAACTAAGGAGTGTGTAGCAGTATCGCAGCCTAAGCAACATGAGGCGACTATAATTATTGCTTATTCCCCTAGAAAATTACCCTAAGTATTTCGCCAGTTCTCCCTGACAGTTTCTTACACTTCTGAGTTGAGGGAGGCACCGGGAAATGTTATTTCCTGTGCAGGAATGTACATTATAAATACTACCACTAGCCAGCGTTTGAACCTGGATGATCAGACCCAAAGTCCGCCGCCTTTAGCTCTACACTATCGTATATAATTTCGGTCAATAAATTGTCAATTTCAGGAAACCAGTGGATCAGTGTTTGCCATTGTAACTGTGATCGCTAGAATTTCAAGCGGTGGACTTATCATTTGTATACAGGAATTTTACCCAGAAGAAAGGTCAGTCAGCCACTTATGATCGACAGGTCACGTTACAAGAAAATAGACTTGTACTAATATGGACAATATACGAAATTCTAAGGTTACAAAAGCTCTAACTAAACATCAGACTTTTCTTTTGGCCCACTTTGCAGAGGGAAATGCCTGCTATGTTCTTGGTCGAGTCCACTTTTTTGCACCATATGAAAATATCGTACACGCATAAAACTTTTTTAATTTACTACATCTATTTTGAAATAGCTGGTGACCCTTGCAATCTGGTGGGTTCCCATCGGTGCGATTTATTGACAAATCGCACCATTTTATGCTCTAGCTCGCGCTCATTTGATTTTTAAACCATGCGTATAATCTCAGGCCTAATAATACACATGCAAAAATTTCAGCATGCTCATTGGCTGAGAACACGTAAATTAATCTCAAGCATTGCAGAAAATTGAAATTGAAATTAAATTTACTGACAGCTAAATCACGAAAGCACAACAAAACAAACAGGAGGACAGGTGAGGAGAAAGTAACATTTTCTCAGAGTTTGAGAGAGAATGCAAAAAAATAAAATTCTCGAGGAGTTTTTCGTAACAATTCGACCGATACCTAACAGAGAAAGAATACAAACGCTCAATTATTCGCGAGAGAGGTTTAAAATTCGAAGCAAATTCTAGAGGAACAAGCCCCAACTCTCCGCAACAAAGAAAATATAAAGGCAAGGAGCCGCACTGGTGAGCCACAACCACAACCACAAATAAAGACAACTGAAATGGAAAACAGAGTCATTTTTGCTTGTATAACCAGTTATTTTAAATTCTTTGAAATTTTTTTCAAAATTTAGTTATAGCTTTTGAAAAATTTATTCGTGCTGATCTATCCCAAATTGCACTCGAAATCATGCGATTACCTATACAAATTGCACTCCACTCGTTCAATTACCATTATTAATCACTTATGTGATGTTCTGATTGGCTAAAAATTCTCCTCTCGATTCAAACCAGCGCAAATTTTCTCGGTCGAGTCCACTCTCTGTATCATATGAAAATACCGTAGCGACATCAAACTTTTAATCATCTTCGAAAGCCTGTAATGTTCTGATTTGCTTAATTTCCCCCTCTCGTTTCAAACCAGCTCAAATATGGCGGTTGGCAACTACGAGCAATATGTGTTTGCGATGACGCCTGGGACGTTAACTTTGGTCGGATCCATGTTGGTTTTGCTTTTTCAACCATCAGAAGTTTCCTTCAAAAATAAAGGTAAAAACACAAATGTTTTGCTGTAGTTTGCTTCTTGGGCTGAAATATCATCGTTTAGAAGAACTGCATGACACTCCCATATCTTTAAGAAATCGGTCTTAGCCTTTTCAGGACGTGCAGACAACATCTTACTTTGAAATGAAAGGGGCTATGCAATTTCATATTGTAATGTTTTAAGTTACTCCTCTGGTAATTTAAGAGGTTGTTGTGTGTTGAATGATATCCTTCACAGTGTTTCATAAAGAGGACATGATGTTCTATTACAGCCTCATATGTTTGTATCATTTCCGATGCATAAGCTTACCTTCTGCCATTTCACCTATTAAGGCTCACAGAGTATCGAGGATCAAGCTGACCAATCATCGTGTGACGGCCAAGTTCCTCAGTGTACGTGTGAAATTGAGACAACGCCAAATGTCTGCTTGGATGAAAATCAAAATTCTTCCAGCGCTTCGGTGCTTTCTTTTTCTGAAGACACAAAACTTTAATTCCTTCCACTAGTTTATTATGTGTCGGCGATGTTTAACCGACCATTCAAAATCTCATTACAAAGTTTGTTCAAGGACAACATTTCTATCAAAATAAGTATTTGTGACTGATCTTTCTCGGTGTTGGGAAGAAGGGGTTAATAAAATGATATATCACAAACCTATTATAATCAAAAAATAATTTTATAATCTCTGAATGACGTGGAAATAGTATTCTAAGTTCATACCATTCAACTCATTGTTAGCTGTTATCAATTTTTATTAACTCATACCTCCTCTAGATCTGTACGTGAAATAGGTAGGGAACATTTGATCAGATTCTTTTTGAATGGCCATTCCAGTAAAAATGCGTCGTCTTAAATGTTTCCTGAATGTAACAAATAATTTGAATGCATGATGCACTCACTTTTACTCAGTTTTTTTTTTTCTGAACCGGAAGTTCCTGGAAATCAGTAACTTTTATAGGATTATTAATGGTTATTACTTTTTTTAAGTCACTTAAAGTTTTTTAGTAATCTAAAGTCAGATTTTAATCCTTTCATGTCGATTTCGGTGAAGAGTAACGCCGAATATTCTAGATGCTTTTACGCGCGCACAATTACTGTTTTTTTTAATTCGTGATGGGTTCATGCGTCCCGTGTGCAAGTAGCGCGATTCTAAATTGCAAAGGGCAGAATCTTGAACCTTCCTCATGATCTTCAGCTATGATCTGTATTTTTTTTATTGGGTAAGAGTCTTTGAGGAGTATTTCCTTAAACTGTACAAAGAATATTAACAATTGTTTTTATCCTGATACTGCTGCTTTGCTAGATCCCAAAATAGTTGTATATTAAATTGTATGGTGCTTACAGTTAAGAGAGATCTACAAGACTAACATTGCGAAGATAATGATGTCTATCAGTTATATAAACCCTGATCGCCGTGATTGACGTCAGTAAGACAACAGAGGTGGATAATCATCACAAGGTTTACAATTGCATTTCGTCTACCGTAATGGTCGATTCGAACAGCTATTTTGAACTTATGTTATATTTAACCATCCATGATCCTTATCAGTAACAATTATACAACTTGCAGCTTGGATGGACGTTTGCATTTGAACCACTCGCTTTCCATGTATTCCTCCCGATATTAAAAAAGCGATAACTCTTGATTCTAATGAAGCCACTTTCTTAACTTTTTGTTTTTCAAGTAAGGCACGCTAGAGTAATTTCCATACACTTATAATTGATAAAATTCCAATGTCTGAAGGGCACAATCCATTAGGGTCATGGGATTTGTCTCATTAGCAACAATATTCTCAAGGCACTTTACAAAACTGATTTCATAATCAGCGTTCTTAAAAAAGAAGCAAACTGTAACAAGATAATTTTGGTTTTATCAACTGAGTTATCCGGAGTTAACATGTATGATTTTCATGTATTTACTGTCAATTGGGTCGAATAATGTAAATTGGCCACCATAAAGAGTTTCAAAGCGAAGGGCTCTGACCAAGGGCTAACGCTCGAAACGTCAGCTTTGAAACTCTTTACGGTGGCCAATTTACGTTATCAACTCAGTCGATAAAACAAAGCAGAATTCAAGATCTAAATGAGTTCTCTATTGCTGATAGTTTAATTTAGAATCGCTTTCTGTGTTCTTGGTAGGGAGCTGAACTATAAGCTAGCATGTCATGGGATTGGGGTAAAGAACGCGAAAGTTCTAGATGTATTTTACACACGTTATAACAATCAGTTATGCAAATAACAATATTTGTTTGGGTAATTAACCGCCCATCTTTAGAGAGTTGATACCTTTCCAACAACCAGATCTAGTCATGCGGCAATTCACGGTTAATAACTCCGTCTTTACTGAATGAGTGGGCATTACCTTGAATGTAAAAGTCACAAAATTAATTTGGAAGCATTTTATGCTTGAATTTCACGCTTTTCAGCATCGAACTGAGAGCATCGTGTTCCTATGAAGTTTTTCAGAAATTCTCCACCCAGAAGGAATCACTGAAACGAGAATCAGTACGTTGATTTCATTCTATTGGGTATCTAGGAATGGTTCTATTGTCTCTATCTAGGGATAGTTCCATTGTCTCCAAAAGACACATTTTGACACGCATTGTTTTGTATGATTCTATGGGCAGAGTAAGATTTTGGCGGGCCGAGATAGCATCCATCGCCGTCTTTCATTTCTCCTACCAAGGGCTCTTTGGAAGCCATTTTTTAAGCTATATCTCTTTAACCATTCCGCTGTATTTAATTTTACGGTCGGGGTCAGTTTGATGATACGGAATGGATTGAGCTCGGCCGCAAGATTTTTCCTGCGTTATTTTAAGATGCGCGTTTGGGTAAGGTTATCGTGTGCAGTTGGAAATGTATTCAACGACTTCTATCGACAGCTCCTCCAGTCATTTGAGCTTTTATTCTTTATGAAAGTTGTTGAACTTTCAGCCTCAGAAGCAGGACTGATTATACTTATTGGAGAAATTGCAGACGCATTATTCTCTCCAATTACTGGGTATCTTGGTGATCTAGTAAACTTACCGTTTCTTTCAAAGAGGATTGGCAGGCGAAAATCCTGGCATCTTTTGGCAACAGTCGTCATGGCCGTAGCACTTCCTCTTTTGTTCAATCGGTGCTTTCTTTGTGCTGGCAACCATCAAAGCTGGCTTCCCCTATTTTACTTCGGATTCTTCTCGGCGTTGGTAAACATATGTTTCAACATGGTAGAGATAAATCACATGGCTTTCATCACAGCTGTTGTCGAGTCTGTAGAAGAGTTCACAATTCTTGGCGCACTTAGGTCTGTTCTGAATAATTTGTTTGAGTTTGTATAATTTACGTCGTATTTGAAATATCTTACTTTGCAATGCATGCCTGTCAGTCTCATCCGTGTACAGAAGCTAACACGAATATGTCGTTGAGTTTTCCTCACCGCTGTGTAAAAAATGCCAAATTTACTGAAGTATTACGACTGGTGGATGTTTAGGAATCAAGTTTGATTATTTTTGTCCCACAATATCATGAAATAAGCTGATAATGATAAAGCAATTCAGTTCAATGACGAAGCCACTTAAATGAGAAGTTTTTATTGATTAGTTTATTTACTATCGGAAAGTTTCTCAGGCGTATTGTAATAAATGGTGGTGGGGTGTTATAATGAACGTCAATTTGATGTCTTGTGTTCCGCAATGATGTTGCTCGTGATATCTGACAATAATATTTTCCTGTTTCGTAATCGGGTCATTAAGGACTGTATTTCGCTTCCTGAGTGGTATTTACATATACGCCATCGCCTGGAGCCTTCTGGGACAAGACAATGCAGCTGCTCTTGGACCTGACAGCCTGTCAGATTTTGCGGTTAGTAGCAGCTCTCAATAATTTATTTTGAAAAAAGCTTCGCCTGAAAGGGAATCCAAAACTTCAGGAAATGCCTTATTTTCCTTTGCCTCACTCAAATGAAATCGTTGGTTTCAAAATGGCGAGAGAAAGAAAAGTGAAGTAGTGTCTCCATTTTTTCTTCTGAAATTTCCCCTACAATTGTAATTTTACTCTCTTTGAATTTGCAGTATCTCTCGTGGATTGCTACTGGAACTGGAGTCCTCTTTGTAACCGTCTTTCTCATTGGCAGCACAAAGGAGCATCAGAAACGTTTGAGAAGAAGGAGCAGATTATCGGGTATTTTGGTAGGTCAAAACCTGAATGGAAAAACCTTTTGATAAATTCAAAGTCATTGATCAATGCAATCAAACATTTTGGTGGATCTCTGTTTGAATCATGCATATCTTACCGTAAATGACTTCTACTTTATTGGTAAATACTTTTTATTTCATATCCTGGTTTTGGAACCCTCGTATTTGGGTAACTAGATTGTTGCAGGCAGTGCATATAAAGGCATTTATTATTAATTAATTAATTAACTTTATTTCATGCAAATCATTTTGCCATCTCCACCCGCAAATAGCAAAAGCTAGACGAGGCGGGCGGAGAGGAAAGGTTACAGCAGTCATAACAGATAATATAATAATTGTAAAGCAACTAAATAAACTATCTGGATAAATAAGAACTACTGAAAAAAAAAAACAAAAAACAAAAAACAAGCTAAAGTTACAAAATATATAGTCTTACAGAATGATATTACAATCAAATTTACTACTAACAGAACTATCAATTATATACATTGAGTCGAGGATGCAGAATTTGCCATTTTTTGTAGGAGAATGGGCACTTCAACATAATCGTCCTCTGCTTCCATTATCGAGAGCAAAAAGTCATGAAAATTTTTCTTAAAAGCTCCTTTGGAGAGTTGACGAAATTCGTTAGGAATTGCGTTCCAAAGTTTAGCTCCAAACCTGGAAAAAGAATCTTGATTTAGATTCAATCTTGAAGTTTGAACATAATAATTTCCAGACGAAGAAGACCTGGTCTCACGCCTGTGCTTTGAATTAGCTTTAGTGAAGAAATCACAGAAGTTAGACGGAGCATTCATGCAGGAAACATCAAACATTATAGAAGATACTTTTTCAGCATATAAGTTTGACTAGATGGTTGTGGAATAGACGAACTCAAACTGACATTTTCCTTCATTGTAGAACACTCCTGGGATATTTGTAACAACACCTTTGGGAAGTGAGAACGCAGGCAAGTCTTTACTCGTCATACAAAATAACGTCAGTCTCGTTCGAGAAGTCAGCTTCAAATCTAGCTCCTTGCAACATGTTGCTGTTTATAAATGATTGTGTCTTTTTTCTAATGTTTAAGGTTCTCTCCAAGACAGCCTTGCTCATAGATTTGTGGACATGATCATGGCATCGTCTCAGTTGGAAAATTATAAGCAAGAGATGAACGATTGGGAAGAAAGCCAAAGTCGAGAGCTGCATAATAGAAAAAAAAGTGTATTGCAGAAGTTTGTCGCTGCTATATTTTCTGAAGGGGATAACTACATTGTTCATGCTCGATATAAACCCGTCTTCGAGGAAGAAACGAAGGACCCAGAAAGAGAGGATACAAAAAAACGTATGGTCTTAGAAGTACAACAATTAGATCGTGAACGTAAGAAAAGTTTGATGATGCGGGTTTTCGACGGACTTCTGTCAAGACTAGGACATGAGGAGGAGGAGCAACCTAAACTCACTGTCGGCATTGAACACCAAGTTTCAGCAGACAATGAGCATGAAAGGTATCTAGCCGATAAAGAGTACTGCAGACATGAAGAGAACGAAACCTTTCGTGAAGAGGATACATGGAAAATGCTCAACAACAATAAAGCTGTCGACGAAGAGGCGGGAGATGGTGTAGAAGAAAAGTTCCCGGGCACCCTAGAAACATCCATTTTGTCCAAACGTAAGCAAAGAAAACATGCTATCGTGATGACTTCAGTTAATGGTCGTAATAAAAACCAGAAGAAGTCTGTGACTTTTGATGAGCCAGGACTTTCCGATATTCCTTCAATGGATGAGGGGACACAGAAGAAATTAAGTCTTGAGGACTTGCCTAAAGACGGAACGATCCTCAGTGAAAGTGCTCAGAGCTATTTGGCACAAGATTGCGCCGAAGATAACACAAGAGAATCGGCAGTTTTAGATGATAATCCTGCTCCACATAGTTTTCCTGTTCTTTCGGAAATTCTTCCAACTGAGAGAAAACGTCCAAAAAGAATCAGAGATTGGCTGAGAGATCCAAACCTGTATAGGGTAAGACCAAACACATTGCTATCTAGTTTATTTCCACGTTGAAGACTTTTAATTTTAACTTTCTCCTTTTCTGCGCCTTGTGTCCTTCTCAGGTAGCCATTATATTCACAAGTTCACGCCTTGCGCAGAACGCTGTATACAATTACTTACCGTTGTTCCTTACAGAGAGGCTGCTATTTGCAAAGGTATAATAGTCGAATCTTCTCTTATCCCTTCACTTCATTTTATAGTTTGCAGTGTTTACTTGTTTTTATGTTCACCGCTTTTTTTTTGTCTAATACAAGGAAGCCATCGCCTATTTCCCACTTATTCTCCTGATCAGCGCCACTTTCTCAAGTTTATTCTGCAACAGCCTGAACAGGAAGATTGGAAGTAAGGTATGATGGTAAGATTTTTCCCATTATTAGCTGATACTTTTTACCTTAGCATTCCCAAGTTTGACTTATTTTTTATTTTTTGTAAATTGAAGTAAATTGTTTTTAGTGCATTGGTGCGCTCATTCATCTCTCTATGGTCAGTTCCTGATCTGCACGTTTTAACATCGCGAGAAAAATGAAATTCATGTAACATAAGCTTCAATAAGGTTGAATGCATATATAATTCATCTAAGCGTCATTTCTACTTTGGTTTCGACATTTAGTGGAGTTATCTTTTGGCGGGTTCCCTGGTGATGGGCTGTTCTGTTTGGAGCTATTTTCAGACTGTCTCCACCAAGCAATCAGCTTATGCAGTGATGGTTACAATGGGAAGTGGTCTTTCCGTTATGGACGTCATGGCACTTGTCTTCATTACAGAGGTGATTGGAGAAAATAAGGTTAGTGTTGTAAAACGAATTTCTTTGTTTTTGGAAACAATAAAATTAAATCATCTCAAAAGTTCTTTTTCTGACAAGCCATTCATTAAATTGCCCAAAATTTGAAATTACTACAAACAAACATCGGTATCTAAAGAAATTTTAGGGTTGAAAAAAGGTGAGAGCTGCACTCTAACCAATGACCCGGACTACTTAGCCCTCTCGTAGTAGTAAATACTAACATGGTGATCCCTAGTCGATAGTCCTTGAACAAAATGTCTGGTTTCAATGACACGACGCTGGATCCATTGGTGTAGAGAGACACTGTGCGGATAAAGTCTCCTGTCCAATAACGCAACAAACTGACCTGGCAAGGGGTCAAAGTCGTCCACGGAGTCCCTAGCGTAAAATGTTACATCACTGCCTCTCAACGAGGTCAATAAATCAGTAGGATCCTTATCTTCTAGGAAACCAGTGGATCAGTTTTTGCCATTATAACTGTGATTGCGAGACTTTCAGGCGGTACATTTATCATTGGCATACAGGAATTTTACCCAAGAGAAAGGTTGGTACGCCATTATCAAGTCGTCATACAAAGAATTTAAATACCATATATTCCTTTAAAAGTTGCGATGGGTAGTTGGCGAACTTACCGAATTGACAAGAATCCTAAATTTCTACGGTAGAAATGATTTTCTAGCTCTTTTGTGTTTTTATGCGCAATTTCACAAATATGGTTACAGCTCTAAACTTTTAGTTATCCTTAATTTTTTATCAACGCACTTTAATTCTCTCAATTCAGAATCAGCTCAAATGAGGCGGTTGGCAACTACGTGCGACATGTGTTTGCACTGGCGCCTGGAATATTGACTCTCATTGGATCCCTACTGGTTTTGCTTTTCCAACCGTCAAGAGCTCACAGCAAAAGTAAAGGTAACATCGTCAATGTGTACTGGGATACTTTATTCTAGGCTAGCACTATAATAGAGAGAATAAGTGCGTACCGCGCTTCGCTTAAGTAAAAAATAGTCTTAATCATTTCTGCGCCTTTCAAATATTATCCTATCATGTAAAATATGACCATGAAAATAAACAATGTTTTTTTCTTTAATGAAGCAGAGTGTACGTTAGGAGTGTTTTAGAGTACGTCCATCGTATTCCCTAACAGCCACACGACGTTGCAAGTTTTCTGATCCATAACGTCCTTATGCCAAATCTCCTATGTAGGCTTCCAGGATGCCGAGGCTCAAGCTGACCAATCATCGTTGGATATTCAAGTTCCTCAGCTTCCACGTCAAAGTGAAGCAATTCCAGACGTCCGCCATGATGAAAATAAAATATCTTTCATCGCTACTGTGCATTCTTATCCCGAAGACACAAAACTGTAATTTCTTTCGTTCTATCGCGTATTCATAGGTGTTTTCTTATTTGAACTATGCAAAGTTTGTTAGAGACAAAACTGCTACCAATACCCTTTCAATTGAGAACGTATTTGTAACTTATCTTGGTGGTCCCACTAAGGATTGACGTGACTGACGTGTACTATCACTTTAATTAACATGATTCATTAAATCGGTGTGACATGATGACGATCGGTTACCACAACCTTAAAAGAGGAAGATAAAATTCAAACCAATGACACAATTGAACCACAGCAAAAAGAAAGCCAAATTTTACGTACGTAGTTATGTATATACGTTGGTCACTTAATTCTCACATATCAATGTGTGTGCCTTTTTAAGTCCGTAAATATTTACAATTCTGATCCTATGTGATGAGCGCTAACGTTATCGTAAATAACATAGAAATACGGATGCATTGCAGAATCAATCCGCACTGCACAGAGTGGAGTTATTTCCTTTGTGGGTGAGCAAAAGTGTTAAAGTTTCAAATAAAGTTATGAACTGTATCCCGTTTCTAAACTGCCACTTTGTCAAATGTTTATTTTAGGCACAAGCATTTATAGCGAGCACTTTTTACAACCTGAAATGTTTTGGGTCTATAATGGCGGTTGATTAGCGCTCTACAGGTAACACCAGTCAAGTCTCTTCACTTAAAAAAAAAAAAAACTTAAAAGATTGTAAACTCCATGAAAATGGTTGTTAAAAGTTGCAACTAATTGTTAATTCAATGCAATCGCGTTCATGAGTTGGTTGTCAAGTAGCGAAGTTTGATCTTCTTCTTACTTTATAAGTATCATTTGGGTGAATGAAGATAGACTTACAACGAATGATTGTCTAAAGGAGCTTGTCTTTGTGAGATAATGCTGTTGAATGTCATTTCAAATGCAAAGTCGTCATTGAATGAATCTTCCGTGCGGTTTATCTTCTCCTAAATGACTGAAACTACTGATTCCCCTCAATGAAACAAATGTTGACACTAATGAATGAATATTTCTTGTAAATGTAATGGAGTCTGATGTCATCCAAAACCGATTGTAGTGAAAGACACAAAAGCAACTTATGGTTCATATGTTTTGTTTTCGGCCCCACTTTGTTACTAGGAGACCAAATTTTTGATCCCCGCTGCTCAGTGAGTTCGTGGGTAGGTCCGGAAGCATGTCATATAAACCCACAAAGTCCACTTGAATGAATTTACAATATGACCTCATATAGTGACAGGAAATACATAAATTGGCCAAATATAAGGATGTCTAAATCACTCTGAAGGGGTGTTAATAATTGCGCAGAAGCTAAGTTTTTCCGTTCAATACGTTGAGGAAAAAGGTATAAAACCCCTCCAATTTGGTGCTTGTGAAAGAATTGACGAAACCATTTACCATGAAGATGCAAATTGTTTCACGAGGTCCTCGAGAATTACTTCGATGCTATTCTGAGATATGATACAGTGGTGTTAATCACTCGTCAGTGTTCTGAAGAAGTGCACCATAATGGATGATCGATGGAGGATAGAGGCCATTAAACGTGATTAGGGCGAAAGTAATAGAATCTGAATTTGGATATGTTGGAAAATATTTTGACACACCAAAAAAAATTTTACGGATACGTTTTTAAATCATGTTCATATGTAACAGACGCCGCGTGGGAAATTCTCAATGACATGTCACTGCTCGTTTCTTTCTTCAGTGAGAACTCCCGTTCAGTGCTCAGAGGATGGTTTTTAAAAGATCCCGACTTCCATTCAAAGTTGGTGTGACATGACGCATGTCCACTGGTCAACTAGCAGAGTAAAGTAATCAATGAACAAAGCACACAAATTTCTAAGCAGACTTAGAGGCTAATCAGAGCATATGATAAGTCTCAAATTAAACATAGTTCAACAATACATTTCAAAAACTTTATCAACCCTTCTGCACAGCACCATGGTCCCCAATTGCGGAAATTTTAATTAATTTGATTGCAAGTTGTAATGCTTTATTTTTCTTCTTTTCCCATATTCCAAGAAATAATCACGAAACTCAAATCCGATAAATGCAAGTCAAATCTATACATCTGAATGTATAAAATGTACGTAAAAGTTTTATTTATGAGATTTTTAGCAAGGATAGAAATAAACTGAAGGAATTACGGTACGGAAATTGTGATTATTTGGGGGTGTTTAATTACCAACTAAATAAACCTTTCGCTTCAATTCTCAACCGCCCTTCTTGCCTTGTTCAGTTGAAGTCGTACAGCAGTAATCCAAGGTTATATTTAAACTTGATGGTGATCAAGCTAATAACAACTGCAAGTCTTAAATTGTTTGTCGGTGATAAATGAATGTCGCACTAGTTGGAATAGATCAGTTTCATTTTCTATTTGAATATCTTTTCAACATGATTCACATATATATTCTTAACGACTGTGACCAAATCCAAAAGTTGGTTTGAAGCATTAGTTTTGCAAATAAATATTAGTTTCAGATGATTCTGTTTTTACTAGCGTTCTTGTATTAATGTCTCCCCAGCGTAAAATTACGCTTCAACTGCTATGCTCTGGATGCGTAGTCAGTTAATTTGCAAGAAATGTCGGTTTCGGGAAAGGTTTCGTTGTCATGATAACTACCCACCTGTCGAGACACCAAAACCATACTACAGGCATCCACATCTCTTCACATAGCAAGACAAACCACGTTAATTCAGCGAAACAATAAACTCTGTCCACATCACCTCACATGGAAAGACACATCACATTAATTCAGCAAAGGAGTCAATACTTTCCACATCGCTTCACGAAGCAAGACAGACCACATTAATTCAGCGAAGTAATATACTCTGTTCACATCACCTCCCATGGCGTAACTAACCCTTAGAGTGAGACACCAAAACCATATCACAGGCATCCACATCGCTTTACATAGCAAGACAAACCACGTTAATTCAGCGAAATAATAAACTCTGTCCACATCACCTCACATGGAAAGACACACCACATTCATTCAGGAAGAAGATAAATGCTGTCCACACCGTTTCACATAGCAAGACACACCACATTTATTCAGCAAAATAATAAATACTGTGCACATCGTTTCACTTAGCAAGACAAACAACATTAACTCAGCGAAACAGTAAATGCTGTCCACATCGCTTCACTTAGCAAGACACCACATTAATTCAGCAAAATGACAAAAACTGTTCACATTACTTCACATAGCACGACATACACATAAATTCTGCAAAACAATACAGGAAATGCGTAAATTCAGGAAAACAATAGGTCCGTTGTTAAAACACTTGCCATATTACCTCACGTAACTAACAGAAAATCCATAAATACAGGGAAACGATGGTTCCACTTCTGAGCCCGCATTTTCTCGCATATCTACCTGTGGATATAAGTATTCGTACGAATGTAATATCTGTCACTGCGATGCGTTGAGGGTTAGTAAAACACCTCCAGACAAGTTCAAGCCAAAGATAATCACACGAAGCCATTTCAGAAGAAAATGCAAATTATTTCCAAGGTTACTAGAAAAATTAGCTCGATTGCTTTTAGGCATAATGAAATTGTGCTTGTCTCCCGTTTGTCGTTTGATGAAATGCGTTATGAAGGACGATCAGAAAAAGATAGGAGCCATCGAACATGATTGGGGCAAAGTTAAGAAAAGCTAAACTTGGATATAATAAGTGGTATTTTTACATGTAAGCATATTTTCCTAAGTCAATTTAACTCTTTCCGGTGAGAAGCGAAGTAATTTTATTTCATGGTCATTGGGAACGGATATGTGCTATCGAAATAACAAAAATATTCCGTCAGACTTATCTCTCTTCTTTTTAATGCCTCATCGAAAGTTTATCTTCTTTCTTTTAGCAGAGTGGGTCCCCGTTCAATGCTCAGAGGATGATTTAGACGACCCACTATCAGCCGTCTGAGGAAACGTTTCTGTTAATGACATCTTTCCACTTATCCACAAGCACAGTAGCGTGATAAAAGAGAAAAGCACTTCAGTTTCGTGGGGTGACTCAGAAGCCAGGCAGAGCGTGTGATTAATCTATAACGTAAATCAGTAACACAAAGGAAGAATTTCTTAATAACTCATCTGACAAACACCTTGTTACTCAGTGACTGTGATTTTAATTAATTTTAATTTTAATAGTTGTAATATCTCTGCACTAGAGAAATGCTATGATTTTTTTCATTTGCCATAGTCTAAGAAGCTGATTACGTACGAATAAAGTGTGCATTGAAATACCACTCACATTGTTATGCAAATACTTTTTGTTGATTGGTTGATATGTAGGACAGGTTTTATTTAAGATGACGATGTCATAGTTTCTAAAGGTCACACAACAGAGATAAACTAATCGTAGCCTTATGATAAAAGTCAGTTGGTTGTCCTATATTCTTTAAATACACTGAAGCAGTAAATAGAAAACTAGATAAACCTTTTCTGCGCTGAGTTCAGAGGGTCTTCTCGCTAGTATGCTCAGTTTTAAAAATGCAATAAGCTCAGTAAGATGTTACCATTGGACACGCATATCAAAGTTCGTCCTTTTATATTATTATCTGCCCCTCAGAACTTTTAATAAAATGCTTGTACATCCCTAAGATGCACAGAACGGCGTGTCTCCCACATGGTCGAAGGCACCGCCTAACGTCTTAAAAGATATACATCATCCGGGTGATCCTTCAAGGAAAGACTCCGTTACATTTGGAGGATCATGATCGTTGTCGTCCTAATCCAACAGGTCTTTATTGATAATCGTGGGCGCATGTTTTCTAAATAATTGACC